ATATATATCTTTGGCAGTCAATGTGTTAATGGCAGCTGAATCACACGCTTCACCCAAGATCCGTGCGAGTCGCGCGCTCTCCGATTTGGATCGAGAAATCGGACTCGATCCTTGCGGAGAGATGCGCGGCCGTACGCAGCTAAGAATGCTGGATCCTCCTCCCCTTGTCGCCGGCCAAAGGACGGCCTAGAATAAGTTTCCGAAGAGAGAGAGAGAGCGTACTAACATCGGATGAGAGTAATCGTTCTCGATGGAAGTTTGACGTGAGGGAGAGTAACCAAAGTCTATCCTAAATACAATCCCTGGATTACATTTCTCTCGTTCGGCGCTATAATTTAGAATCGAACGGAAGCTGAAAGCTTGAACGAGATTTTCCCTCGTCCAAGAATAAGCTCACTCTAGTCTTGAGACAACTCGCGATCGAAGCACTGAGCGGCGAAAGTAATCGAAGGGGACCCTCTGTAAAGTGGCGTCTCGATTTTGGTCATTCTCCGCTGACAATTTCGGAGGCAACGTGACGCAAGTGATTACAAAACGTCTCTTATCGGCTAAAAGAATCCTAGATTCGAGGATAAATATTGCCATTACCGGTCCAAAAATGAAAAAGAATCGTTAGCCTTGTTGCTTACAAGTATATTCGCACTCGCGCGTGCGAATCCTTTGTGATAGAATCTTAAAGGTTCTAAGCGACATATGTGATACGAAACATACATTTGTTTCATAAGCGAGCGGTTACTTGCGGTCATCTGTCTCTGAAGTCCATGTACATTAATTATTGCCGTTAAACGAACTCGATGTTTGTATTTGTGCGCTAGGCACATCCGACATCCTCGACTTTCTCGATATTTCTCGCGTTGCGCATCTACACGAGATGGTTTTTAACGCTATACTGGTTGATCCATGTATGTGTACATATGAGTAAAACAGCTATGTATATTCGAGCGAGGGACTGGAATATAATGTAAATTTCGAATAGGACCCCCAGTGAGCTTTTGTCTAGTATAGCATATAGTATAAAGCGATATAAACAAATGGGATTATAAAAAAGTGAGTCGGATTCAAGTTAAAAACTCGCAGTCAAAAAAAGAAAATGTCAAAGTTCACCGCCAGAGCGATCGGTTACTGGCGAACTATTAAAGTAAGTCGAACGAATTAAGCGAAAAGAAGTTTCTAATCGAAAATCCGATTTACTGTTCCTGCGCACCCATTTACCTGCGTCACTATATCACGAAGTCAATCAAATCTACTAGACGAGCATCGAAGAAGGGATATTTCTCGTTCGTACGCGATAAAACTTCGTTCTCTGACCTAAAAACATTGCCTAGAAAGTTCAAGACTGCTTGGACATGTGGCCTATACAATTACCTTTATTAGAGAAAACACAAATACCGTTGATCAATAAATTTCTAACTTAAGAACAATAAAAGAATACGCTTCTGGATTACTCAAACGACGAGCATCCATGAATAAATAAAATGTGTTCATCAAAGGCAATGTTTTCAGGTGGACTCACTAGTGAATCGTAGACAAGAATTACCCTCTTCTGATTTAGACCTGTAAAGTCATCGCTTGCGGCTCACTAGGTAAAACTGATTCGATTTCAAAAAACGAACGAAGAGTGAACGATCGACAATTATTTGTAATCAGTTTGACACGTATAAGCTGCACGTCCTACGATTTTGAGGATTTTTCTTTCTATAAAGCCAGTTCAGAGTAAAACTCTCCGATAAACATAAAACTATGAATTATTTTTCAGTTACTTTCAATGAAGATTTTCGTTATTGCAACATATTAGAATAAAATTTCAAAATAGATATTTCCAAAATTTTGTTTGCATCAATGTTGTGCTAATTTTCGTAAAATTATCTTTTCTTGGCTATATTGTGATGGGTTTAATCATATTGAGAGCGATGTTATATATTGTTAAATGAAGAATTACTGTCACTGCAGTTGATGGTAAATGTCCGAAATTTCTAAGCATTCCTAAAATATTTCCCCAAGTTATAACTAAATTTAGACTTGGAATTGATCAAACCCATCATAATATATAGACGAGTTTAATCTAGAACAGTGTTTTTCTATTTTTTTTTCTTTTTTTTTAACAATAGAACATTGTAAAATGGTAAAAGCAAATTTATACAAATATTAAGTAACTAAAGAATATAGATTCCTGAAAAATTTAATTTTTGAACCAAAATTTTATTTAATTTTAAATTTAATTTTTGCAAAATGTGATTCCTTTATAAAATATTGTTTGAAAGACGCTATTCTAGATATAAGGATCAGTTAGCTCGGATTGTCGATGCAATTCAGCCTCAATGTGATTCAAGGTTTGAAATAAAATTTGCGTTGGACGACGAAGAAGCATACTTGTTTATAGAATTTTTGATTTGGCACCGAAGCTGAAGAGTAGAGCGCAAGGGACGATCCTTAAACTCGATCCCTCATGTTCGACGAAAGTACCATGTGTTCTTACATTTACAATATTTACCTACCTACCTACCTACCTACCGCGAGCTCTTTTGTAACTTTTGCGAGAGTAAGTAAGAGACTTTCCTTTTTATTTTATAATTCGCGTTCGGGGCATGGGCGTCTCCTCGGCGCGGCTCTACGATTCCTCCTCGTATCATTTTCAGTCAGGGTACAAATGCCGCGCGTGAAAATGTACATAAGTTCAACACGATTATATAAATACTATCATTAAATCATTATCTAAGTGCGATAAGGGAATTTCGTTTCTGTACATAGGCAAAATAAAATGATGTTTATGATGAAGATCGTCGTATATTTTCTACATTTTGCACTTTGCTCAGTGTCCGATTATGAGCAGATTATTAAGTGAATTCTATTCTAATTATTTTTTCAAAGAATTATTGATTGGAAAGATAGTTTTAATATAACAATGAGATTAAACGAGAGATTAGAGAAATAAAGAACAAAGAATAAGAGATACATGTGCGAAGAATGTCTTTTATCTCGAATTTATATCAATTAAAAGTATGTACATACCTTTGATTCTCTCTCTCTTAAAAACATCTTGGAGATAAGTCAGTGCCATAAGATTGTGCCAGGGATCTGTCTCATTCCTTTATTGATTTTGCCACGCTCTCACGATATCAGCCGCAGAAATATTTTCAAGTTCCTGAAAATATATCATCTTTCAGAAATATAAAAAAACCGTAATCGTTCACTCGAAACTGTTTCTTCAAATTGATTTAACAATTTACTTTCGGTTGATTTTTTTTAAGTTTTAATCTACTGGACACTTTAAACAAATCGTGTAAATAATTTTAGACTATTTTAAACATTGAAAATAAATAACTTTAACAATAAAATTATATTTAAGGATTTTCAGTCAACTACTATGATTCATGAATATCTAAATGCAATGCATATTCCGAGCCTTCGCGCTGCAAATTGGTGCAATTCATTGAGCTCTAACTGTAACTTTATACATTAGACATTTGTGATGTTGAGGTCATAAGTAATGACAGCAACGGATCCGCTTTAACGATTGGCATTTTGAACTTTGTAACACAAAACTTTCCAAAAATTAAAAAAAAAACGTTTTAATTATTTAAGTATTATTTTACGTATTTTTAAGTATATTTTACGAGCACCCTAACACTGTCAAAAGTAGCCCAGAAGCGAAAATAAGCATGTAGAAAAATTCTGATTACCTGTTGCAACGGCCAGAAACACTTCATTTTAGCTGGGATTTTGAGTAATCGTTAACAGAAACACATAATATAAAACAGCCAGAAATGCCATTTTAACTTGGATTTTATGAAATGTTAACAGGAGCACATGATAATATATTATTTTTTTTTTTATTCAGGAATATATAATTACATGGCTATGGCGCTGCCATACAGCACGCACATGATAATATAGGAGCTCTCTCGGAGCAGTGTCATCTATTGGTTAGCTAAGACAACATAACGACTACATGATGATAAGTGTACCGACTGGTGAGTGAGCTCCTACATCATCATGTGCTCCTGTTAACATTTCATAAAATCTGCCGGTTTAGCTTGGAGCGTTTCTGGCTGTTAAAAAAGGAGACAGAAATAGTATGTCTGCTCTTTCTAGTCCGAAGCTAGCCGAAGCGCGGAGTTCACATGTACAGTGGCTTGCGCATGTGTGCAGTATTCCCTCCCTCATATTGCTTGCTGCTTGCGTCTCAAATCTGGCGTCACTGAATCGCCAGAGCGGTCCAGCTGTTGTGGACAATGGCGACGTCTCGACGGCTGGTGTGACATCTCGGGCTAAATGTTCCCGCTACGCTGTTCGGACGTTGTTGCACGTACACGCGTATCAATCCGCGGCGGCTGAGAGCACATCTCAGCACGTAGAATCAAGTGTACCGTTCCTTTCTCTTTCTTTCTGTCTTTCCGCCCTGCTCTTTGCCGCCCGCGATGGCCTCGGTAAATGCAAACGCGCTGTCCAGTGACATAAGTCGTAGGAATCCTCAGGACGAGTACGAGCTCATTCAGAGAATAGGCAGCGGGACTTACGGCGACGTCTATAAGGTTTGTATCCTCGCCACTTGATGCGCTCCTGCAATGACGGTGAAACATCAATGACTAGGTTTCCTCTTTGCAGGCTAAACGGCTCTCCATGAATGATCTGGCGGCAATTAAGGTTATCAAATTAGAACCAGGTAAGTGTAAAACCCATAGAATGTTTGTAATTGCACAATCATTATGATTAACTTCTCCATTCAATTATTTGTCAATTTTTTCCTTTATATGAAACGTCCTTATTTTATTTTGGAATATCATTGTGACTTTTCATGTAAGGCGTGATGTCGGAATAAACAAGGCTATAAAGATATAACTATAAAGATACTTTTCTTTGTAAGGTGTTTAGATGTTATTTGTTTGTGTATGCTTGGTCTTGCAAAATGAAGACATTGAGCTGCATTACAAATTTTGCTGTACATTTATGAAGCAGAATAATTAACACTGTTTGTTTTTTAGGTGATGACTTTGCAATCATTCAACAAGAGATTCTAATGATGAAGGATTGTAGGCATCCGAATATTATCGCGTATTACGGTAGTTATTTGAGGAGAGACAAATTATGGATATGCATGGAGTACTGCGGAGGTGGATCATTACAGGATATATATCACAGTACGTTATTACATAATGCTAAAAGAAATAATATGTCTTCCATGATAAGAATAGTTATTTTTAAAACATAACTACATTATGCAACATTTAAAACATTTAAAGCATGTTAAAAAGGAAAGAATGCAAATTTATAACATTTTATAAGTTGATATTTATAATACTCATAAATTGTTCTTTGATTAAAGCATTTTAATAATTACATTGTTATATTTGCAGTAACTGGACCATTATCAGAAATACAAATAGCATATATGTGTCGAGAGACCCTCACAGGTTTAGCTTACTTACATAGTATGGGCAAGATGCATCGTGATATTAAGGGTGCCAATATATTATTGACAGAAGCGGGTGATGTAAAATTGGCAGATTTTGGCGTGTCGGCGCAAATCACCGCGACGATTAACAAGAGAAAGAGTTTTATCGGTACACCTTACTGGATGGCTCCTGAGGTACTTTTAGATTTCATAATAATATGTAATGGCTCATTTCACAGCTACATTGAGGACTAACGGATAAGATTTTTACATGTACAGGTAGCAGCTGTGGAAAGGAAAGGCGGTTACAATCAATTATGTGATATTTGGGCGTGCGGAATAACCGCGATAGAATTGGCGGAGTTGCAGCCGCCGATGTTTGATCTGCATCCGATGCGCGTCCTGTTTCTCATGTCCAAATCAGGCTTCAAGCCACCGACTTTGAAGGATCGTGACAAATGGAGTCCAACGTTTCACAATTTCGTCAAAGTCGCGCTTACGAAAAATCCCAAAAAGAGGCCGACAGCGGAAAAGTTGCTTCAGGTTATTTTTATTTTATTATTCGTAGATGTAATTCGTGAAAGGAAAGATCATCTTTGCAAAATCGAACTATTTTGACACTAATCTATATTTTATTTCGAATTGCAGCATGCGTTTTTCCAGGGGGAAATGAATAAGAGACTGGCATTAGAGTTATTGCAGAAAGTGTCAAATCCTAGCCATATGTTTGCCGATTTAGAAGCCGACGAGGACGGGGCAGTGCCGAATGTTCCACAAAGAATAGCGTCGCGTCACACCGCGAGGCCTAGGCCGAAAAGTCCTATATCACAACTAGATAGTGATGGTAAATATTAATGATTAAAAACAGCAATAGAGAATGATGCATCTTGTGCTTTAATATAATTTGGATTGTAATCTGCCTGCAGATCAAATTAATCTCGACGGAGATACATTACATAGAGATCCTATGTCACCATCTGTGGACGCTAATCCTGCATGGGACATCATGGACATTATGAATAACGTTAAGGTATGATCATACTGCTTATGTTTCGTAAAATTGGTTCGTAACGTATATTAAACTAAATATTAATGAAAAAAGAATCATAATGGCACAATTAGTATTTTTTTTCAGTATCGTAATGATTATGGTATCAATAAAAATGCGATGTATAGGAATGAAATTGTAACTGATTTGTGTTGTTTTTTTTTATAGTCTGTACATAATTGTGACGTGCATCCAGATTGTGGGATTGGTTCTGCGTTTGAAGACGTCCAAGAAAAGTAAGTTGTTTATTACTTTGTTCTGTCAATTCTTATCGCACACATTCTCATAAAACGTCGAAAAGTTGAAGCTTTACTCTTATTTTTTTTTTCACTAATATGGTAGTTGCTGTTTTGTTCAAAATATCCTCGTCCATGACAAATATATGTCATAAATATTTAAGATAGCATCTCAAAAATCTTTAATATTTCACAAAGTTCTACATTATGATACATGGGTCTATTTTTATTTCACAATATATGTATATACTTTGTTTTACTTTCACACGCTCACATACACTCACACGATATGTATATATTAATTAAAAAAATACAGCAAGTTATGAACTAAATGCAATCATCAAACAAGACAGCAATGCAGTCTAGCTGTATTACAAGAAAATCACGAACATTACATTCTCTGATAATAACTAATAAACACATTGCATATGGCATGTGTGCTTATGCTTTGCATCATGTCACACGTCATGTCATACTAGTTTCAAACGAGTAAAAAAATACATATGTTTATTACTCTTCATCTGAAACAGCAACACATCATATTTTGTAGCTTTGATAAGTACAGAAATCTCTTAAAAAGTGAAATAGACGATTATAAAAACGATTAGTAAGATAGAATTTTTGAGTAAAGATGTCACAGAGATTCCTCGCGATTTTCGTTCCCCTCAATTTTTATTGCGTAATTATTAGTTTCTTCAAATCTTCCCACAAATTCCACAAATTATTTCCATAGAAAATATATTTATTTTTGTATTAGTACACTTGGCGCGAACGTTAAGACAAGTAAAATATCGAAACGTCATAGCAAAACTGGCACAGAGATATTTCATATGACTTTAAGGTAATATTAATATTTCCCAATTTGTCTGGAGTGAAAATTTCTTTTTGTCTCTAATATAACGAAAATTTTTCATGCCAAAACAAATTACACTACTTACATTCTTAATTTGATCGAATTTTTTTGGAAAGTTTTGATCGGTTTGTCGCAACCCAAGTAACTCTGCAATATAACATAAAAGTATAAACTAAACTGCATTAAAATCTTTTCACAAGGTGGCATATAGATTAAATATTAGAATTATTTAGCTAAAATTAATAATATTTTTAACTAAATGTATACAATTTTTCTATATAACACAAAAATAGGAACGATTATTCTCATTAAATAGACATTTCTCACTGGCACAGATTTAACATTGTACATATGCAAAAATCACAATACATTTGCATGTTAGGCGATAGGTGTGACTGCTTGTATGATATTGCATGATTAATAGTAAAATTGCCAAAGGGTGCTGATATTTGATTGATGAAAGGTTGTGTATTTGATTAAAGTAAGTACAATCATTTCGAGATACGTTTTGTTATACATATATCAACATCAGTTGCCTATAGAATTATTTTCGCTCTATCGTAAGGTAAAATGGGACGGAAAAACAATTTATTCTACGCATTCGTAATTCACAACGCACTCTTTAAGTATTTAGAGAACATTTCCAATGAGACTACTTTGAAATATGTCGTTCGTTGGAAATTGAGATTACCCACTTTTTTTTTATCTATATTTTAACAACGTAGTACATTCGGCCGTAAAATGTTTATACCCTGTCACTATTAATCCTTAATCCTGTAGCACGCCTGCTCTATGCCCTAAGTTCGGTTCTATCCACTCCCATTATTTATCCCTTGTATATTTTTAATTTTTCTGATCAGTTTGTAATTCTAATAATTTCTCCCAACAGGAGTCTATTGCAGTACATTGATGAGGAGTTGTTGCTAAGGTATTGGCAGGTAACCCTTTTCCCTTGCACCTTGCACCTCGCACTTATGTTTCCTAACGCTATGCATAATTCTTGTAAATTGCATTATTCGAATGATTAGTTTGCCACTTCATTTTACCGCTTATATTTTTTCAATATTTTTGTTCATTTTTCGCAAAAATTAATATAATTTGAATTATCCTTCTTTTTTTGTTTCTATTTTAATTGCCATTTTGAGATTATATTTATTTATTGTTTATATAATTTCCAAATTCTTCCAAAATTATCCCGTTAAGTGACCAGGGAACTGCGTAATTTTGAAAAAATTACCCAAATGCCGTTAAAAAAAATAATTATAAAAGAGAAACATCTAAAAAAATGCATATCATACGTTTAACAAAACTAAATGGAATGACTTAAATTATATAATAATAAGAAAGCACAGTCGATTGTCTCGAATTTCATCACGTTCACAGTATGAGTTACAGAGAAACATTGATATCACGCACACAAATTTAGATAGATATAGAGTTTTCAAGTGTGCTTTCCTCTCGTTACGTGTGTTCAATGTTATCTGTTGCATGTTAGTTTTTTCAACATTCTAACACACTAAAAACTACTTCTAAAATATATGAAATGTACCGGTGGGGGATATTTATTGTTACCATAGTTTATAATTAAATTTTCTATTACTATGCTATCTTGATATGTATAGGAGAGAGATTGTCTCGTTCGATTCTCAATATTCTTTCAAGTTGCTGATATAACTATTTATCGTGCTGAAAATCAAAATGGAATTTAAACTGATTGCGGACTTGTCTTGCATTTCTTGTGAATATTATAATATGTTGTGGGTAAAATATTAAGACTTTAGATACTTTGGTGGAAGATTCAATCAATAATTTTCAAGATTTTTGAAAAGCAGAAACGGTATTAGTTGCTTTTTAATTATCTTATGTTTTTGCAGTTTATTACGACATTACTAAGTACATAAGTTTCTAAAATTCCAAAGTGTATCATAATATATCAAGCAGCACTGGACAAAGTGTCCGCAATTTTATAGTATATGATCACAGTTTCATGTGTGCAGGGGGAATGCAATGTCGATGGTCGGTGGGCATTGCGACCAGCTATATTCCCTGCAGTAAGTAGATAATAAATTACAATAAACACTTTTGCTTTCGGACGACATAATTTTCAGTTGATACATTAACATGAAGAGGTACCGTTTATTTTATTATTGTTTTGTTAATCGACGAAAACGTTAAGCCCACACATATGTAGATCACATCGCATTGTAATCATTACTTTATTAATATTTATCTCGGTTATTATTTAAACGTTCCTTAAACTTAACTTAAGTGATGCAGGCATCGACAGGAAAAGAGGAAAGATTTTATTACACGGGGAATATTTCAATAACTAGCAATACATGTTAGACTTCACATTCATTGTGTATTACATAACACCAAAATAACACCTCACCTGTACGAACGATTTTGTTAACACATTGATAACGTGATCGTCTTGTGATATTACAGTACTAAAATTCACTAGAAATATGCAGCTTTACAGCTCTAACTCGTTTTTGCATCACATTTTCTCCGAATTTTCACATTCAAATTCAATCTGAAAGCTGTTATTTCTAAAAATAATACACGCTCTGAGCATACATTTTATAACTTACGATGTGTGAATCATTAATAACATTTTTAACATTTAATTATCTGTTCTTTATTAACACAATATTTATGTTTCTTCCTTCAAAATCTAGTACATTTGAAAGCAAAACGATTGTACACTAATAGTTGTTTGAATGGTTTCTTTTTTTAGAGCTACTCTTCCACTTGGGGAATCGTCGAACGACTGCGAAGTCCATTGTCCGTATTACAATGTGCCTGGTATGTAAATGATATTGCAAATTAATGGAAAAATTTCGTCATCTGTGCATAATCTGTTGTCTTTTAAATTTATTATATGTACGCGAATGAAAAATAGATTTATGCACAGGGTCCCAAGCAAGTCCCAGACGTCACAGCTCTGTGGACGAATTGTACGGTCTCGTCAACAGTTCTCAGGCCTTAACTGCTGTCAATGGGCAACGCCAACGATCATTATCGGATAGCGGCCCTAGGGACGAGTCCGCACAGTCAAACGGTAAGAGCAAATCATCGTGGGTTCAGCACTTGACATTCACACGACAATATTACTCGTGTTTCACGAGCTGTATGTCTAAGTTGTGTCTTTTTTTATTATTAAGAAATATTTAATCGAAAGCATTAACGTCGAAATATCATTTATGCTGTCTTTAATTATATTAATATCGCTCGATTTGTTTCAGGTGACAATGAGATATCAGCCGATCGAGATAGGGAAAGTATGAGTCCTGACTTATTGTCAGACACACCGCCTGTGCCTCCGAGGAGAAGGGATCGGAAAAGACACACGCCACCAAGACCTATAAGCAATGGGCTGCCTCCCACGCCAAAAGTGCATATGGGAGCGTGTTTCTCAAAAGTCAGTTTACAAACATTCAAAGGATTTACTCGACTTTCTCGCAAAGAATTTATATATTGTAAATTATTTTTGATATATTGCATCTTGCATTGTTTGTTACATGATTTATTATTCTAAAAACTATTGCGCCACGTGAAAGTATTTTTTGTCACATTGTTTTTCGACAGCTTGTTAAAATCTCGTTTCCTTTTCTTTCCCGAATAGGTATTCAACGGCTGTCCACTGAGAATACACTGCACCGCAAGCTGGATTCATCCGGATACGAGGGATCAGCATCTGCTGATTGCAGCGGAGGAAGGGATCTATAATTTGAACTTGAACGAGCTCCACGAAACTGCGATAGATCAGTTATATCCGAGACGTACTATTTGGATGTACGTCATCAAGGATGTTCTCATGTCCCTTTCTGGTAGGCAGATCTGAATTGTATCATTCGTATCGTACAATCCATCAATTTGCGCCTTCTCAGTGCTATGAGTGATCTGTATTACAGGGAAAACGCCTCAGTTGTATAGGCACGACTTGTTAGCGATGCTAAGTAAACAGACCCATAGGTTTTCGTTGCACATGAACAAAATACCAGAGAGATTAGTCCCTAGGAAGTTTGCCCTCACTACTAAAGTGCCGGATACGAAGGGATGTACTAAGTGTTGCGTTGGCAGAAACTCGTATAATGGGTGAGCAGAGGAAAATATTATTCTTTTACAAAATACTTGTCGAAAAAATAAGAACGTGAAGAAACTAAGATGATTCCTTGTTCGAAAGGATCTAATATTCGATAATTTATCGTGTTTTCAAATCCGTCGATTGAATAAGATTTAACAAACGCATTTTTTCTGATTTAGATACAAGTACTTGTGCGGCGCGATGCCGGCGGGTATATTCTTAATGCAGTGGTACGACCCGTTGAATAAATTTATGCTTCTGAAACACTTTGACTGCGTTCTGCCGTCGCCTCTAAACGTCTTTAAAATGATTATCACGCCTGAGATGGAGTACCCGATGGTGTGCGTGTCAGTTAAACAGCCATATCAGCAGAACAAACTCAAGTTGGACTTAATTAATATGAATTCGGGAGCGAGTTGGTTCCATAGCGACGAATTAGAAGATATGGATGGCTCAGGTATTATCATAAAAGATTTTCTGTAACTTTTCCATCTTTAAAAAATAATCATATTTGTATAATTTCGTTTATAAACTTCTATTTTAGCGACTGTGATACCAAGAAGAGAAAATTTGAACGTTATTAATGTTACGCAATTCGAGAAAGATGCGATACTCGTTTGCTACGATAGTAAGTGTTGCTAATAGACATCGGAAGTATCTTATCGCATAGATGGCGCGTTATAAATTTTATGTTTGCATTCGCAGATGTGATGAAGATGGTGACCTTACAGGGAAAACCCCGTGTTAGCAAGAAACAGTTGTCAGAGCTGCAGTTTAATTTTCAAATTGAATCTATCAGTAAGCATGAGATTCCTTATTTATTTGTAATTTATATTGGAGTGTTCATGAATAAAATATCGTGTCGTTCATTTTCAGTTTGTCTACAAGATAGCGTATTGGCGTTCCACAAGCATGGTATGCAAGGTAGAAGTTTCAAAAATGGCGAAGTCACGCAAGAAATTAGCGATCCGAGTAGGACTTATAGGCTACTTGGCTCAGATAAGTATGTATCTTACAATAAATTAATACAAAGAGCTTTTGAAAAGATACGAATCTAATAGAAATTTTCAAGAATAATTTAAAATAATTATGCATGAGATTCGATACTCTTTTATCTCGCTTTGATTGCTACTGTAATAGAATTCGCAGTTTAATGTAATATAAAAAAAAAATTGATATGTTACTAAATTTCTCAAGACATATAGAAAAAGAAAATAAGATAAATCGTTGCACAACAGGGTTGTGATGTTGGAGAGTCACCTGGTGCACAGTGGCACGCTAACTGAATCGGAAGGAGCGGACTTGTATATTCTCGCTGGACATGAGGCCAGTTATTAAGCGTTGATTCTAAGTAGCTAACACGACCACACGCTGCGTTATCGTCTCACACGATGTTTGTGATTGAACTTCATGTAACGTGAAACGACTACGAGAGCGGTAAGAAATTAAAATATGCAGAGGTAAATACTTTACAATCAATTATCCGACTGCGGCCGGTCATCGGTGCACCGGTGTGCACTTGAAACGCTGCGATAGCCGCCGCTGTTCTCTTCGCATAGTCGATATTACATAGACTGGTAGTTACTCGCGATAACCTTTTTTTAATGAGAGAGGTCTTCGAGCTAGACAATTCTCTCAATAGACACGAGTAAAACTATTATGGGAAGCGGAATATTGAATTTAACAGGAGGACAAACTTAAGAAGGAATATGTACATGGAATTTACCTTATGCCTGATTAAATGAAGCTAATAACAAATGAAATGTCGATTAAAAGTGATTTGCCAGTTGATTTAGCTATTTATGTATAATT